CGTAGTTCTTTTCATAGTACAGTCATTTAAGCTTAAATTAGGTAAGAATCTCGGAATTCGAGATACTCAGCTGTATGTCTGTAAATACTTGTATATTGACACCCTAAAGTTGTCTCAAAGCCTACATATGGTATTGACACCCTACTATATGTAGGTTTTGAGACAACTTTAGGGTGTCAATATACAAGTATTTACAGACTTACAACAGCTGGGTATCTCGAATTCCTAGGTGAATTTACTATAATGACTGGAATATCATCTAAAAACGTAGCATTGATTTGGTGCATGTAGCATTATTATAACACTAATATTAATAATACACAACCTTATAATGAATAATTCTATACTAAATTAAATATAATTTGAAGAACAAAAATTTACTCAATAACATTATTTAAGGTTAGTTTGAAAGAGATAACACGTATTTTTAGTTTAGTGCATTTGGTTTTACATTTGGATTTGATTTAGTGCATTTTTATTTAAGTGAAACTGTTTTCTAATTAACCAGTTAACTCTTTTGCGAATATACTCGTCAGAGCTTTATTTGGACAACATAAAACGCCACAGTTAACTAGTTAATTATTTTAAAATTATTAATATACTTTTGCGTTTAAATAGTTTTGAAAAATTAGTTACAACACACTAGTTACCTATAGGGATGACATACGGTAACAATGGTAACTAATTTTCTTAAATGAAATTTATGAGCTGACATTCTTGAAACTAAAATATTTACTTTCAATTATTTTAGGCTCTACCGTGGATTAGTGGATTGAGCTATGGAATTTTAATCAGAAGTCCTAGGTTCAATACTCGCCTCGTCAACATGAACCAGCTCTAATTTATGAGCTGGCTTTTAGATTTTTGCAAAAAAAGTAATAAGTAAAAATTTAATTTATTTTAGATTTTTTCATGGATTAGTCGTTAGAGCTATGGGATTGCGATCAGAGGCCCCAGATTCTATAACTATTGCGGGCATCTTGATGTCAAGCAGTAGTGACATTGATTTTCACTTGGAAATATTGGTAACAATTTATTTTCAAGCGAAAATAGTTCTTATACGGAAATGCTGCATCAACAGAAATTCATCACTATCACGGAAATTGTAATAATAAAATTCATCACATTTAGTCCAGTCATTAGGTAAGAATCTCGGAATTCGAGATATCCAGCTGTATGTTTGTAAATACTTGTATATTGATACTAGAAAGTTGTCTCAAAACCTATATATGATAGGTACACCCTACCATATGTAGGTTTTGAGACAACTTTTTAGTGTGAATATACAAGTATTTACAGACTTACAGCTGGGTATTTCGAATTCCGAGGTGAACTTACTATAATGACTGGACTATATAGGACAACTGTTTAGATTGCCATATATAGAAATTGACGAAGTTAATCAAGTCAATTCACAACAACAGCTTATAGGACCCTTAAGTTATGATCGCTGTGCAAATATTTTTTTTGCTAATATCAGTAGAAAGTTTTACTAAATTATTTATATCATTTATGTCTTCAATATCGAATTTATCTTTCTTATCAATTTTTAGATTTTTTGGAGCAGAATTAATCCAGCCTCGTGTATTTTTAGTACACCGTTAAGAGATGCCTGCTCGTGTTGTCAAAGAAATTTAAAGATCGCTCGTCGTTCCATGATGCCCATGAATATTCGTCTCTTATTAATCCATTTGAGCAAAAATTATTGGTGTTATGTAAATTAACGCATAACGGTGGCGCTTGCCAAACTCTGTTTTGAATTTTCGTAAATATGATCAATACTTTCTGATAAAACTTTATCCTTCGTATATATATGCATATGGATGTGCGTCATGTGATATTGTAACGCTCGGCAGACTTTCCCAATCTTCTTGAGTAAACGAAACCACAGATAGCGGACCGTAGTGAGGAATCAACCTTTAATCGAATATTTTATAGTTTTCCAGGTGCTGCAAATAATTGATAATTGATAATTGATAATTACTGTGATTGGTTATATTTTATATTAGGCAAATATTATTAGTTGTGTCCAGTTACGAGATACGCTTTATGTTACACCCAATTTAGTTGCTTTACTTACTTTTTTTTTTGAAAATTTTAGTTTTCCCGGAGCTGATATATTGTGGATCATTAATGTGACTAGATTTATAATTTAGTGTAATTTGTATAATTCAAATATTTTCATTTAGGTTTCTTCATGAGAAACGCTTTAGATTACGCCTAATCAATCTATTAAACCAGTTGGAATTACGATGTGTTGCAATTAAATCATATGCATTATTTTTTATAATTCTATTATTTATTTTTGTCTTTTTCATTTATTTCTATTGTTTATAATTTCTTCTATTATTTATATTTTTTATGATTATTATTACTATTTTTATTGTTATTTTTATTATTTTTAATGATATTATTATTATTGTTTTTCTTATTAATTATTATTATCGTTGTTATTAATTTTCCGTAAAAAAATCGAAGATGAAATTATTTGCGTGTTTTTACGTTTCAAAAGCTTCTGAAAATTTTGATATGCCTTAGAAAAAAATGGATGTATGTATGTATGTATGTATGTGGGTACACAATTTTCGTCGACGATTAGGAGAGCACGTATCAACCGCTTTGAATGATTCAAAAAACTAGTTAATTCTTAATTAGTTTTTGGCAAAAGCAGGTCCAGCCGTCCAGTAATTTTTCAAGAGAACGGAGCATCCGATTTCAATCATTCAAAAAACATATCACTTGTATTGATTGAATGAAAAATTAGTTAAGTTTTTGGGTAGGCAGGTCCAGCGGTTTTGGAGAATCAATAAAAAATGTCATTTCATTGTCAAAAATTATCATTAGCATATGCGCATGAAATTATCAGATATTTTATAGAGATTTTAATAATAAGTACAAATTTTCTTTATATATCTATGGGTTCTATACCAATGTTTATCAGTTTGACTGCGACGCGGCGCTTACGCGCTTGGATATTTAACTTCCTATAGGGTAAGTTATAGTAGTCGCAAAAAAATCGAAAATGAAAATTTTAATATTTTCACGTTTCAGAGGTTTCTGAACATTTTGGTATACTTAGAAAAAATGGATGTATATGTGTATGTATGTACACTATACGAATACAATTTTTCCAATTTCAATGATTCAAAAAAACATTCGATTTCTATTAATAAGGAGACGTGCTGATTAGTTTTTGGCGAAGACAGGTTTCGCCGTTTCAAAGATGGGGGGCAAAAAGTGCTAAAAATGGTGATTCAATTTTTGAGAGAACAGAGAGGCCTATTTGTATGATTCAAAAAACATTTTATTTTTCTTGACGAAATGAAAAACTGAAGAAATCTTTGGGAAGGCTGGTCTAGCGGTTTCGGAGATCCCATAACAAAAGGAAGAAAAAATTGCCATTTCGCAGACAAAAATGATCATTAGACATATGCACATCAAATTATCATATATTTTATAGATATTGTAATAATAAGAACAAATTTTGTTTGCATTTCTATGGGTTCCGTACCAATATTTATCTGTTATACTGCGTTGCGGCGCCCACGCGCTTTTGTTATTTTGTTTTTACACAGCTAACGTATCGCGATTGCTTTCAAAACAGTTCAGAATTTTCAAAATTTTTCAAAGTATAAAAAATTAAAATTTTACAAAAATGTAATATGTTTTCAAAAATTGTAAAAGTCTCAAAAATCCATTTTTTTCAAAGTTTCTAAAAAATGAATTTCGTTTTAAAAACTTTAATTTTTGGTACGGGAAGTTCCAGCAATTTGCCTTAATGCACAATGCCATGCACCACTAGTTTGTGTCAAAATCAGCTTTGCAGCAAGGTAGCTCTAAAAAAATTCAAAATATAAAAAAAAATATTTTTTTCCAAAATTACAAATTTCTCAAGAATCTATTATTTTCAGTTTCAAAAAAATGTTAGGGTTTTTAAAAAATTCAAAAAATTTTGATACGTAAAGTTCGTGTCTTTTTTTATTAATTAGTTTTAAATTTATTTATTCTCTATTTTATAATAATTGTCATAATTGTTGTTATCAAATAGATATTATTATTATTACCGTGCAAAATTGTGTGTTTAATGTATCCTTGATCTCAACCCCTCTGGTCAATTGCGGCACCTGCTTTGAGAGGCACTTACGTCTAATATAGCGAAGGGCGAAGAAGGCGCATGCTCCGGCAGCGGTGACAGCGTGCGGAGACCCAAGTCCTGTGCTTCGCTAAGCACAAAAGTGCGCAAAGCAATCCTCGACGGGGAAAATGCCAAATGTGAGGTTACGCACGCTCACTATCAATATCCATTCCTGTTGGTTCAGTTTTTCGACTCCGGGTATCAGTTTGTTAGTTATTAATAAAACGACAATTGTTTACTGATATCGGTCTTAAAGTGTACCTTATGTCATAAGTGAAAATTCAATTACAAGTGCGCACTATTGTTTTCTAAGGAAATACACAGGCGATCTTATCAATTCAGCAATAATGAGTTGTGATATCAATGTTTGAATGAAACCTAAAATGTAAAAATATAAGCTCATATTTTTTCATAGTTAAATAAATTACTTGAATATTTTTTTAATTGTGTACATATGCAAATAGCATCCTGTAAAATGTAAGGCTGCCACGTTTATTTTTTATAACCACAGACTGTTTATATTAAACAGAATTTGAAAACAAGTCATTAACCATACGCTTGATCATCGTTGTTTTCTACTTTGAAATTTTTGTGTAACTGTTACTACGTATACATTCCAACATTAAAATCAAAAGAAATGTGAAGAATTTCTTTTCCTCTGAAGACGATGTAAAACAACAAAAGTGCAATTACAAAGGATATCTACTATAACTCTGTATCCTAATGAAATCGATGCGAGACACGTGTTTTGCAAAGGATATTAAAAGCAATGGAAAGCAGTGACGAATATTGGATAGTTATGAATTCTCTAGTATGATAATTACAAACTAAATGCTTCATCGAGGAGCAATGCCTTTATTGCAACATGAGTTCTATTTTTAATTCGCTTAAATCATTGGCTGGTTCGCACATCACGAAGAATGGTAAGAATTTAATTATAAAAACATAAGTATACCCAGTGCTGGATATACAGTAGGGGCAGCCGGGGCTACTGCCCAGGGCGGCAAATTTTCGGGGACGGTAAAATTTGGATAGTGAAGAAAAATTCTATACAATATAATTAACTCATTTTCTTAATAACATTTTTTATTCAAGAAATATAATTAACAAAACAATACGATTGCAATGCAAATTTAGGCAATTTTGCTAATAAAAAGTTTTGTAAACGAGCTGAAAGTTTAAGAAAAATATGCTCTTCAGATCTCAAGGACTTCCAAGCTTATAGCGCCAAAAAAATAAAACTAGTAACGCATGGCATTGTGCCTTAAGGTAAGTTACCGAAACTTTCCGTGCTGAAAATTACATTTTATAAAGAGCTTTAAAATTGTTTGAAAAAATGACAAAAATTGAACTTAAAAAACCTTTTTTGATATTTTGATATTTTGATATTTTCGAACATTATGAACTTTTATTTATTAAAATTGAATTTTATTTAAATGAAAACGATTCCTATTGATAACGAGACGTGCTGATTAGTTATTGACCAAGGCAGGTCCAACTTTTTCGAAAATACGGGGCGAAATGCCAAAAATGATCATTCAGTTTTTGAGAAACGGAACGACCAATATCGTTAAAAAAAATTATATGTATAGACAAAATGAAGAACTGCTTAAATTTGTGGGAGGCAATTCTAGCGGTTTCGGTGATCCAATAAAAAAATTTCGAGATTTGAAAAAACATTTGGTGGTCAAAAGTGATCATTAGACACATGTACATTAAATTATCAGATATTTTAATAATAAGTGAAAATTTTGTTTACATTTCTATGGGTTCATTGTTTATTCGTTATACTTCGACGCGGCGCTTACGCGCTTCTATATTTTGACTCTACGCAGCCAAAGCCGCGCGATCGCTTTAAAAACAATATAAAAAAACTCAAATTTTTCAAAAAAGTCAAAATTTTCAAAGTTTGCAAAATATTATTTTTTTTAACTTTAATTTTCGGTACGGAAAGTTCCAGAAATTTACCTTAAGGCGCGATGCCAAGCACCACTCTTTATAGTGTGTAATGCGTAATGAATTTTAAATAAATTTTAAATGATTTTTTATATAAAAACTATTTAAGTAAAAATCCTGGGATGGGGCGGCATTTTTGTCAGTGCCCCAGGGCGCCAAATTTCTAAATTCGGCCCTGAGTATACCGTATTGTAAAAAATAAATAAATAGCTAAATGAGCGTTGGATGTTACTTTGTAATAAATAACGATAATTTCCCCAGGCGCTCGAACCGATATTCGTGCAACATCACCGCCGAGCGAGGAGTCGGACTTCAACCAGTGGCTGCACGCGATGCGCCTGGTTGCAAGCATGCCGGAAGGGGTCCCTCCTGAATTCAGGAAAAAGGTTTATTACGATGTAAATTATATATTTTAACTAATATACTAATTATTTGTGCATTATTTTAGCTTTGGTTATCGTTGGCTGAGAAACATCTTCAGAGTAATAAAGTTGATTGGCCGCGAACGGAGAAGAGATGTTTTAGTGCGTTTAACAGAGAGGATGACGAAGAACTTGGAAACCAAATTGTCAAGGTAAAATCAATATTCTTAGTTTTACTAAATTTTCTATTATTAATTTATGATATATATTATTATTTTGTACAGGATTTGCACAGAACAGGTAGTTCTTTCTTTTCGGGACCAGACGGATCGCACAATCAAGCTATTCTGAAAAAAGTTTTAATAGGATATGCTCGTTATAACGAAAAAGTTGGTTACTGTCAGGTAAAGGTTTTATAAATAGTAAAGTAAATTTATATTTTAATAGTGCTTACTAATATATATTTTAGGGTTTTAATATGCTAGGCGCCTTCATGTTGCAAGTTATGGAAAGATCAGAGGTCGATTCGTTGAAGGTTCGGAAAATAGTTACATTTTTTTCATTTTCATTGCATAATTATTATGTCTGATTACTCTGTTTATGAGTATTTTCACTTATATCTTTATGCATTATTTCACCTTCATATTTGTTTCGATATTTCTAAGTTTATATTAAAAATTTTCAGGTTAGTTTGAATTTATTCTGTATTTTAGGTAATGATTTTTCTTATTGAAGGCGTGATGCCTCCCAAGTATTTCAGTGGCACGTTAAGCGGATTGATAACAGATATGTCAGTTTTTCGAGAATTGCTCAGCTCTAGATTGCCAAAATTGTCTGCTCACTTGGATCGATTGCAAGGGACTGATGGAGAAGGTAGTATTAATTCTGATTTTTAGAATTCGTAAGTAACTTTTTTCTTCTTTGATGATAGGTTATTCGTTCGAGCCGCCTTTGACCAACGTTTTTACGATGCAGTGGTTTCTGACTCTCTTCTGCACGTGCCTACCTCATGCAACGGTTTTGCGCATATGGGATTTAATTTTTTTGGAAGGCAATGAGATACTTTTGCGCACAGCTTTGATGATCTGGGAACGTTTTTCAGAGTAAGTTTTTCAATCAGTAATTTTTAATATTATATTAACTTTAATAATTCATACATTAAAATCAGGCGAATATTGAGTGTAAAAAGTGCAGATGAATTTTATTCAATCATGATGATTCTGAGCAAAGAAATGTTAGAATGCGGTTTTAAAGACGCTAACACATTCATCAAAAAGGTTGTCGAATTTGGTCCCATAGAAAACTTACAAGAGCTTCGGGCTAAATACAATTACAACATGAAATGGACTCAATCTGTAAGGATACATATACTTGTTTAAACATATTTATATATAAATACACGCTCTAATGAAAATTAATTACAATAAGGTTCAGCCTTCGCCTAGAGATCGCATCAAACTTTTCTATTCTGATGACGAATCGTATTCTGATTCCGAGCCGAACAGAATGGCTGTAACTGCGGCATATGGCTGGACATCAGGACAAAAATCAGCAAGAAAGAACTCACTGGGGTCACTCATGATGGACCCAGAACGTCTAACAATGGACATTAATGCGCTGAAACAACAATACTTGAAATTACGAGAGCGACAAAGGCAGGCGCATCTCATACTTACCGCGGCGTGTGCCAGGCAAACAGTCGGTGAGTCAGTTGAACTTGTTTAAAAAAAAAAATACAATTCAAATTGACTTGAATCACTATATTTATTCTCTATATAATTCTAATTATTATGTTTGTTATTTTCTAGTTCCCTCAATATCGTCTCCGGCCAATCCAATAAACCACTTTTTGCTGGGTAAAAGCGCAATTTTGAACTCTCACGATCGACGTCGTCGCATTGGACTCGGAGGAGTCGGACCTGTTCCTCCAGCTCGTGTCGCCAAGTTGTCTATGAAAGCATCTCAAGGAGAAACTTTGTTGTGGAAGGACACCGACAGTAAACGACGTACTCTGACCAGAAGAGATTCTATTAAATGGAAGGATATTCCTAAAACAGACTCTACAAATACAAATAATAACGACATTAATTCCAAAAGCGTGTATGGTGATGATGATTTGTTAGCAGGGAGTTCCGAGAACTACAATAGCTACGTTCAAGATTTGCGAGGACAAAGTGATTCTTCCTCGTCTTACAGTGAAGAAAGCAGTACTTCAAGTACAAGTACGGAATTATGTGATGAACCTAATCGGTTAAGTGATTTTGATGCTGAACCGCTTTCAGTCGATGATGCCAATGAAAACCCTGTTTTAGATGCAAAAACAAGTCCAAAATATGATCCGTTACCAGAAATAAAAACCAGTCCCATTTGTGAAGAATTTCCAAAAACGACCTGCGAATTTCTTCGTGATCCTAGTAAAGAAAATATAAACGAAAGCACAGAAATAATAAATAGCAGTCTTCACAATTTATCCTCAGAATTAGATTCTAGTAAAATATATGAAAATATTCAAGAGAGTGATTTTAACTATCCACGGGATCTCAGTCAAGAACATTTAGAACAAGCTTCGGAAGTAGAAAGTTGTTTGAGCCGAGTTTATGAATCGTCGTTAATCAGGAAACCATTTTTTTATCGTCATGATCTTAGCGAAGAAAATCTAAGTGAAAAGGCAGAAGCTATAGTTGCAAAAAGTAATATTACAGAAGAACACAATTTAGTAGAAATCAATCCTATTTACCAACCTGAATCACAATTTACCTGCTCTGATAATTTGAGTACGATAAATTTAAGCGGAGAGTTTGAAAATAAACCAACACGAATTACTCTAGATATTGAGCAGTCTCCCGAAAAATGTTTTACATTTCTTCGTAATTTAAGTGATGAAAAATTAACTTTGAATTTAGATTTAAAAAGTGATTCTGCTTGCGAATCGTTATCGGGAACATATTTAACAAAAACCAGTCCGACTTACGAACCATCATTTCCAAAACATAGTCCATTATACGACGATTTACTTAAAAATAATTTATCTCGGGATCTCAGTGAGGATAGCATAAGCAGAAAAGATAAATTTGCATCTAATTTTGATTACTTACTAACATCCGAAAATGAAGTTAACGTTAATTCAAGTGAAGAGAATTTGTGTGAACGTAAAAATTATGTCACAGAAGCTGCTATTGAAAATATCGCGCAGACAATCCAGGAGAACAAAAATTTACTATCTCGTGTTACTGAAGATAGATTAAAAGAAAAAAGTCAATTTGATAAAAATATCGCCGCAACTGAACCCGAATCAACCAATCAAGACCTCGAAGTTTCAACATCGAGCTCTGTGACATTTGATAATCAACTTACAGAAAAAGATGAATTTTTAGTAAATGATACATTTTTAAGTAGTGTGGATCACTCATATTTTTTGACAAACAGAAGCTTAACAGAAAGTACTTCTGATCAGAATTTTCAGTTCTGTGTTCTTTGCCAAGAATCGGCGTGCACTTGTTCCGAGAACACTGTGCAGAATACAGGGAAAAAACATAGTGAACGAGCCTTACAAATTATTGAAGAGAATTCCAAAATCTTACACAGGATATCTAGGTACAACATAGAAAATACATCAGCGTTGAATTTTCCTCATTTAACAGACTTTTACAGTATAAAATTAGGTGACAACCGAAATCCGTCGGATTTGAGTGACGACCAGGTTGGCGATGCAAGTCAAAATTCAATTTGTCTATCCAGAAGTAATAGCAGGTACGACTTAAATTTTTCCAAGTATGTTACCACGACTGAACCCCGTTTGACGTTTAAGAATTATTTTATAGACAAAGAGAAACTTTCGCCTATATATCGGTTGAACAGTGAAGAAAAAAATATTTTTAATATTACAAATAGTGCCAATATTAATGACGTTGTGAGTGATATTTCATTTAGAAAAGATTGTGTATCCGATTCGTTGCCTTTTGATTATAAATTCCATGTTATTGGGACGATGCGATTCCGAAGGATGAGAAGGATTCACCTAAAGATAAGTACGTATTAGATGATAATGCAACAAAATCAGAAGCCAGCACTGACTCGAAATCTGATAAATCTCGTTTGACGTTGACTCCTGATTTTGATTTTGTCCTAAGGAAAGATATACAAAGTCGACTTTCTCCTATAACGTCCACATCGATTTCATCAGAATATCGCGACAATATAAGGAACCCTTACAGTTCCGTATTGAGTCCTAGTCATTTATCAAATTTCCGTTCAATATTGAGTATGGACAATAATTTTACATCTGATAGTAAATCTAAGTCTTATAATATTCAATCGCCTAATGAAAAAAGCCCGAATGAGTAGTTTTATATGAACTACTCGACTAGGCTACAATTTAAATATGTGATATCACTAAAGAACTCAAAGGTTGGTGCGCAACTAACAATTAAAATATTTGTGGCTTCAGATATTTTTACAAACTAGTATCTAGAGTTCATATTCATAAAACAAACATATAATATAACGTATTCATGCCTCTAGTCGTCATATCATACTTATTCTCTACTAACAAAGTCATTTAATCAAAATAATAATCATAACTGATTCATTATATAGATCTAATTAAATTTACCTTCAGCTTGAAAATATGTTTATAGTCTAATAATTATATTATATACCTTTAGCACACGTACCTGGAATTATATTTCAAGCAAAATATTGGGTTGTTCGGTAAGCAACTTCGTTTTTTATAATAATAAACAATTACTTTTATAAATTATGTATTGGCAGTTTTGATCGAACATTTTTTGTCATATTTCTGGTATTAGCATAATTCCGAGAGCACAAAGATCAACTGATCAAAGTGCTTTTTGACATGCTGATTTGAGGTAAAGGTTTTACCGCCTAAAAATTATTTTAGCGGCCGGAACAAATAATGATCCGATGATGCCAGGTCTTGAGAATATGATGAATGTGTCATTGGGTCCCATTCAAGCTACAAAAGCTTTTGGCGATTGACCAAACTTATGTGAGGTCTTGCGTCGTCTTGATGCAGGACTTTACCTTGCTTGTGGGTTTATTCTGACATATTCTATAGAAATATATCATTTAGTTTATCCAGATGATGACATAAGTCATCCGAATTAACCGTTATGTTATCCTGGAAAAGCTGAAAATGAACAACTCCTTTCAAATCTTACTAAACATACTGCATCACCTTTTTCTGGCAATTCATCAGCTTTGCACCTGTTTTCAACAGGTTCTTCTTTTTGTTTTATGGGAAATTACGTGTATTATATTCTTTACTTCCCATTTGACATTTCTAGTAACATTTTGCTTCAAAACCTGATCATTTTCAAGACTTTTCAGATGCGAATCGCGGACGCCAGTATGACGACACATGTTCTTTTCTATGAGAACCATACATTAAGTTTCGAGGAAAATCCCAAACCTTTTGAGCCATGAATTGTTGAATTTGATAAATTTTAACTCATTGGGTATGTTTTAACTCATCATGTATTATTATTCGTCGGTTTGCGTCAACCAATTGCCTTTCCCGGGTTTTTGGACATCAAAATACCAGGAATGAAATTTAGCAAACCAGTTTCGGCACTGTCGTACTATCAACACGTCATTTCCGTACACATCGGTTAATTTCATTTTGACTTAAACAGTATTTTTATTTTTTCTGTAGCAAAAGAGTAAAATATATCGAAAATGCTGATTAATTCTTTCCGTATTCAAAGTGACACCATCCAAACCTTACTTATTTTCACATACAAGCCTTAAAATTTGAGTTTTCAATATAATAATAATTGGGTTTAAGTGTGATGTTAGGTTCAAAAAAATATAGTTAAATTCTGGTTGTAAAAAAACGAAGTGACTTTCCGAACAACCTTATAATATTTGCCATTTTTCAACATTTATGAGGTAATATTAAATGTTGATTATGAGCCCTACCTTGTGACAACAAGGTCCTTGGTTCAAGTTTGCGATTGACAACTTGATATAACGCGTTATTGATAACTATTTTCACTTGAATTTTAATCAAAAACGTGTTTCTAAACATGTTTATGAAATAATTTCATTATTGTGCGCCCAAATATTTTCTAGTTCGTTTATCATCAATGATATTCCTTATAAATAAGCTTTTTTCTACATTTAGTGATATCGCATATTCTGCACAATCACATAGACCTCTTTCTAGAAATTCTAATTCATAAATTTTTGATTACAAAATAGAACTTTTGTACATGACATTGTTGTTATTAGCCAGTTAATTCGTTGTTACATTGTTTAAGTATTTCGCAAAACGTGATGATTCAATAATTTATTGTTAGATCTATTAATGCAATATGTTGTTGTATCACTATATATATAGTTCAAATAATGTTGGCAAATGTTAGAAACATATGTGCGATACATTAGAAAATATTTGTTATAAGACTGAAATAAATTATAATTGCTTCTGGGCGGTGAATTGTAGGAATTATATGAAGGCTAACAGAGTTGTACTTTATTTAAAAATATTGTACGGTTGTTATTTTATTGTATCCTAACTTATGGCAAAAGCTTAAAATTAATATGTTTTATTTAAGCCATTTTGTACCTTTAAACATTGATTATTATTTTAAAGTCATTCAAGTGTATATACTAATTTTACTCTTACTATCTGCCCAAAAAAAACGCAGTTTGGTTTACCTGCCTTTGCCAAAAACTAATCAGCACGTCTCCTTATCAATACAAATCGAATGTTTTTTGAATTATTCAAATCGGTTGATCGGTGTTCCCGAAATCGTCGACGAAAATTTGTATCCGCCCACACACACACATATACATACACACACACGTACACACATACATCCAATTCTTCTAATTTATGCCAAGATATTCAGAAACCTTTGAAACGTAAAGATATATACAAATTTTCATTTTCGATTTTTTGCGATTACTATAACTTACTCTACGGGAAGTTAATAATAATAAATGCTAGTCTGCCCGGAGGCAGATCCATGGTGGGAAACTTTTATGAGATACGCAGTTATAGAATTCCATGGATCAGTATTTCATGTTATTTTTCTATTTTAAGTTATTTTCCGAAGAAATATTGAAATCCAATATTATTCCATTAAATAAATAATTACGCCAGCAACTGTGTTTTCGCATTATCGATATCAATACTTTTTATTTTGTTTGTTGATATCTTATATTTCATATTTCAATATATTCAAATCGAAGCTTTTTAGCCATAAGTTGGGATATATATTAAAGGGTATTTGTTAGAAAGTTTTAACGGTGTTTTTTTTTGAAACCATATACTATAAGAGTATATCTGAAAGGTAGTTTCTAGCAGGCATTTTAATATATTTTAATAATAATTATTGGAATCGTTTTTTGGTTTATTTAATATATAACCAAGTCACTGACGATGTTTCCATGTTAATGCACAAAACATAAAAGAAAAGTATAAATTTTAGTTTAGAAGTTCATCTTTAATTTTTGGCAATTACGTTAGTAAATTTGTCTTTAGCACGGATTAACATATATGTATTATATAAGGGTGGTCTTTAATATGGACATTTTCGAATTTTATTGCTCCCAGGGGATTAATGCTTTCAAATTGATAAAAAAAATCTATAAGTTTTAGCTCTCAATATTAACTTTTAGATAGTGCGCGATTCAATCAAAGCTTCGTATGGAAATAGCATGGAAAAAACTTAGAAAATTTAAAAAATGTTTTTTAGGTATAACTTAGCGACAAATGTATTAAAATGTATTTATTCGTGTAATTTTTTATTAAAAACTTGACGCTCTGCAAAATTTTTGAAAATTTTTTCATGCTAATTCCATACAGAACTTTGATTGAATTGCGCTCTATTTGAACGTTAATATTAAGAGCTAAAACTTTCAGAGAATTGTTTTTTATCAACTTGGAATCATTTGAGACCTTGGGTGCAAGGAAAATCGAATGTCTATATTAAGGACCACCCTAATATATATATGCATAACTTTATATTTACACTTTTATTTCTTTTTTTTTTTTTTTGGATTTTAGTTCTAAGAATTGTTTTGAGATTATTTTATTTATATATTTTGATTTTTTTATTGGATTACAATCATTATTTTTAATGGTTTCATATATTATTTGTTGTTATTGTACTAATTCAATGTTTTCAATTATTTCAATTTAGCTGAACTATGACGCACAAATAGTGTCGAAACTAGTACAAATAAACAATTATATTATTTATTTATTATTTTCCATCGACGTATTGGCTGCTTTTGAAAATGACTAATATGTTTACACTTTGAAAAAAAACATTCAAAAAATTAATAATATGTATCAGGCGATTTAAAATTTGAACTATGTTGTTATTAACATTAATATTGAACTTTATATTTACACTTTCATATTATTCCTATCATATTTTATTTAAAAACAAAATGCGCTATAAATCCCCTCAAATAATTTTGAGCTTATTTAATTTTTATTTATTATTATTCTTATTTATTTTATATATTATTTATTGTTATTGTATTTATTAAATGTTTTATATTATTTAAACTTAGCTGAACCATGACGCACATCTAATGTCGAAACTAGTACAAATAAATAATTATGTTATTTATTTATTATTTTCTCGACGCATTTGGCTTTTTTTAAAATATGACTTAATTATCATCGTCGTTTTTTTTTATTTTATTTGTCCTTGCTTACTCTGAGCATTTAGCCACCTACAACATTTTTATTTATTTATATTCTATACTAATATATCATTTTCAATCTATATATCCTATTCTATATTCTTCTTAATTTTTCTTCTTCTTATTTTTTACAATTCTTGCATTTTCATATCAAATTTCTAATTCTATTCAACTTCTATCTTTATTCCATTTTTTCCTTCATTTTTTCTTTTTTTATATCAGCAAATTCTAATATTTTTTTCTTACTTTTAATTCAATTCAGCTATTCGAATTTTTGTAATTCCTATTTTTCTTAATTTTTACTCAATTTCTACTTAACAAATACAATTTTTATTTAATTTTAAATTAACTACACAATATTTTTTTTCATAAATTCTAAGTCAATGATAGGATTCGATCCAAAGATGTAATATGAATAGATTATTATTTTTTATCATTTGACCATATATTTTATTTTATAATTACATTACACAAAATAGATTATAGTTCGAAAACATTGAGAAACATTGATTTATCGCGATATAAAAGTTTTTTAAATGCCATGATGTCTTCTTGGAGCTACCTGTTAGACTACTAATCAAATCTAGTATTACAATACGAAGGTCGTTTCCGACGAATAGTCAATATTGAATCTTTGACTCAAATCATAAAATATTCTTTTTAATAAAACATTTCATTATCATCTTAAAATTAACAGAAGTAGAATATAAACCATGAATTCCGAGTTGAAGATTCCTAGACCATTGACGTTGTACCTTGCTGTCATTTTTAAATTGCTGATCTGTGAAAAACCAACAATCTGTGAAATCATATTAACACGCATAGCGTATTAAAATATTCTAAATTAACTTTGCCATTTAAGCAAATAAGCATTGATCATTTTTAATATACGATAATCAACAGGTATAGAAGATAAATTATGCCTACTATTAATTTTAACACTTTTCCATTCGCATATACTTTGTATGTACGTTTATTTACCTTTCCATGATGTATCTGTATATATGGATGTATACATTTCTATTCTTGTATGTGTATCTAATATCTTTGTTGTTTCTGGGTATTTTCGAAATTCTAAAATTTTCAACTATTTCTTAACTATTACTATCTTTTAAGATGTCTCCTTTGAATTTCATTCCAAAACGAAGCTTTACAAAAATGTCGATTCCTGAAATGTTAAATTTCTAATTCTAAATAGCGTAACTATTAATCATAATACAAATACGGTCCAGCAACATGCATTAGTAATGAAATTCTATCTATATAATATATTTTGATAAATACATGTCAAGTTTGCTACTAAAAGTATGTACAACTTTTTTACAATCGCAAATTATTTGCAATGTCTGTTTATTATTTATAACACTCTCAGGACTGTATGTGACTATCCATTGATATAAAATGAGAAATATGCATATAAAATGGGAGTTTTTTCATTTTAGAGACATAATTTTTCTGCACAAAGTTCATTAAAACAAATGGATTCGAAAGAAATTCTCCAAAAAAAAACTGTAAGAAAAGTAAAATTTTGGTTTTGTGTTTCTTTATAAATTTTCATACGATCGATATCGCGGCCGTCGATAAGAGTCGGTTATTAAAATAAAATTGTTTTGAAAATCATTATTATCAGATTTATTATGATTTTTAAAGTATTTAAAATATATTTCATTTTCTAGCTACATATAAAACTAGTCAATTATTCTGCGACAATCGTGTATTAAAATTTCTTCTCCGATTCATTTTTAGATATTTCTTTAGACTCTATAATTTATTATTCATTCATGTTTTAAATTTTTCTATGCAACTTTTCTCTGAAAACAATATTTAAAATTAATATGTTATTATCGTGTATATTTTCATAAGTTGTTATTTCCATTAAAATTCCGTATTTTTGAACTAGATAATTTATTAATTTTTTAAACTTTTCTATGTATTTTTTTAATTCTATTTTTCATTATTTATTAATGTTTGAAATTTTTCTATGTAATTTTGCTCTGAATTATTTGTATATTTTTTTGAACCCTATTATTTATTATTTATTAATGTTTCAACTTTTTGGACCATATTTTTTATTATTCATTAATGTTTTAAATTTCTCTATGTAACTTTGCTCTGAATTATTCATTTTTATTACTTTTAGATATTTTTGAACTTTATTATTCATTAATGTCTATACATTTTGGACTCTATTTTTTGAACTCTATAATTTATTATTCATTCATGTTTTAATTTTTTTTCTTATTTTTTTTAATTAGATAATTATTTATTAATGTTTTAAACTTTTTTATGTACTTTTTGGACTCTATTTTTAATTATTCATAATTCTTTAAATTTCTCTATGTAACTTTGCTCTGAATTATTTATTTTTAGATATTTTTGAACTCTATTGTTTATTATTCATTAATGTTTTAAACTTTTCTTTATACTTTTTGGACTCTATTTTTCATTATTCATTAATGTTTCAAATTTCTTTATGTAACTCTGAATTATATATTTTTATGTATTTTTGAGCTGTATTATTCATTATTCCTTAATGTTTGTACTTTTTGGACTCTACTTTTCATTATTCATTAAAGTTTAATTTTTTTTTATGTAACTTGTTCTGAATTATTTATTTTCATTTATTTTTAAATATTTTTAAATTTCTATTATTTATTATTCATTAATGTTTGTACTTTTTGGACTCTACTTTTCATTATTCATTAAAGTTTAAATTTTTTTATGTAACTTGTTCTGAATTATTTATTTTCATTTATTTTTGAATATTTTTGCACTCTATTATTTATTATTCATTATTGCTTTAAACTTTTCTATGTACTTTTTGGACTCTATTTTTTATTGTTCATTAAAACTTTAAATTTCTTTATGTAAATTTGCTCTGTTTTTTTTTTAATTTTTAGATTATTTTGAATTTTATCTATTATTTATTATTCATTAATGTTTCAATTTTCTAATATTCATTAATTTTTAATTTCTCTATTAACTTCGCTCTGAGTTTTTTATTTTCGTCATTTTTAGATATTTTTGGACTCTATTATTTATTATTCATTAATGTTTTAAACATTTCTAAGTACTTTTTGGACCTTATTATTTATTCTTTTTGAATCTTTGCTCTAAATTATTTATTTTCCTTTGTTTTTAGATATTTTTGGATTTTATTATTCATTATCATTAATGTTTCAATTTTTTCTATGTACTTTTTGGACTTTATTATTCATTATTTATTAATATTTTGAAATTTTTATGCACTTTTTGGACTCTATCATTAAACATTAACATTTAAGTTTTTTTTACGTAACATTGCTTTAAATTATTTATTTCCATCTATTTTTAGATATTTTTTGGACTCTATCTTTCATTATTCAGTTTCAAAATTGTCCATGTAACTTTGCTCTGGGTGATTTATTTCCACTTATTTTTTATATTTTTGGACTCTATTATTAAATATTCTGTAATGTGTTAAATGAAAAAAAATAAATGGAAATAAATAATTTAGAGCAAAATTACATAACCAATTAAAAAAATCTTCAATCATCATTCATTAATTTTTTTAATTAATTTGAATCATTAAATTTTTCTGAACTAAATTCTAAGTATTCATAATGATTCGAATGCGTTATGTAATAATTATTTAATAATTATTTTATTTATGTAACTTGTTAACTAATCTGCTGTTACCACGAATTTCAAAGGTTTTATTTTAATTTCTAATATTTTTGGACTCTATTATTATTTATTAATCTTTTAAATTTTTCGAATAACTTTGCCCTGAAGAAATATTCAAAATTCAGAAAAATTGTTTATTAAATGGCGAATATGTTCAGTTTTAATCCAAAATTCTACTTTTCTATAACTATTCAAGTGCTCTATATTTTTAAAAATTTCAAAATTATGTAACTATGCATATTTCTCGTTACTTTTCAATCAGCCTTGATCTTGAATTGAATACCATTGTGCGCTATCTATTTTTCAGTGATATTTTGTTCAGGAATAGCTTAGTAATTGATGTGTGGAATGATAAAAATTGCTTGTAAATAATAATAGATTAAATAGATATATATACATATAAGTACAGCAACAAAATATTTTTGTAGAAAATTATTTCTGTATAGCGTATTAATTGCATATACATATATCTGTATATTGTATATACATTAATCAGCTGAATACGATTTTGAATTTTAATAAACATATTTATTATGCAGAAATGTTCTTTAAATTTATATCAAGAAGTTCTTCTTATAATGGTAAATATATTACAGAGAAATTTTTTTACGGATATGAGGTCATACTGTATTTCATTTCTCTCCTTGATCATTATCTTTATTTTGCTCTATTTTCTGTTTAAATATTTGAAATATTATTTGGGAAATGAATAACGTTTTTATTTTTCATAATTTATTGTTTATATAAGTATTGTTATAAAACATAATCTAGTAATACTAAATCTTAATAAATAATACAATACGTATGGGAAACTTGTAATAAATCTTTAATATTAATAAATCTTAAATATATTATATAATTTAGTAGTACAATAAAAAAATCGTTTAAAGAGAAATTTTAAAATGACTGAAAATTTTGATTTCCATATAAACACGAATAACGATTATTTTTAACAGTGTTCTTAATTAAAAATGTTGTTATTCTAGGTATTAACAGAATAATATGGATTATTAAAATTTGTTTGAATTATGTTTGTACAAAATATTTTAGAATTTCCATAAATATTTTATCTACATGTTGATAAAAGTTTTATTCGATTCACGTTTTTTCTTTGTATCAAATTATCCAATAATAATTATAATCTAATTTTGATAGAAAATCTGACTTTTTGGTTTAATGTGAATTTATTTTATTTTGGTGATGCTGGGGTCCTTAATATGGATATTTTCGAATTTCCTTGCTCCCAGGTGCTCAAATGCTTCCAAATTATTAAAAAAAATCCTCTGAAAGTTTTAGATCTTAATATTGTCTTTTAGATAGTGCGCAATTCAATCAAAGTTTTGTATGGAAATAGCATGGGAAAATTTCCAAAAATTAAAAAAAATGTATTTTAGATATAACTTAGCGAACAAATGAATGAGTTTTATTCAAAATTCGACGCTCTACAAAACAAATTATAAAAAACCTAGAGCGTCGAATTTTCAATAAAAGATGACACGAATTGTCATCACTGTTTTGGAGTATTAAGAGCTAAAACTTTTAGAGATTTTTTTTATCAATTTGGAAGCATTTGAGCCCCTGGAAGCAATAAAATTCTAAAATGTCTATATTAAGGACCACCCTATATAATCAAAATAATCATCGTAGACTAGAAAATATCTGAGACTAGTATTAATAAAACGAGACTTCCACGTATTTGATGAACATAATTTGTATCTCAAACATTCATTAATAATTTTCTGAACGTTCTATAAGTTTTACTGGAGTATCATGACAAAGAGTCATTTTGGAAGATAAAACTCAAAACAATGCTGGATCCTTTTCAATTATAATTTCTAGCCATGAACACGCTTCGGTCATCTAAGAAAATCTGGATTAATATCATGTTCGTTTATTGTTTATTTATTTAGGCATCACTGGTATTTGTAAATTTATGCAATTCTTTACGAATTGCTGCAAGTAATGGGGCCACATTGGCATCGTTGTTTTGTGGGAATTCAGGATCTGGTGCTACGACTCGTGCTACGTCCACTCTTGGCGGGGATGGAGGTCGGTGGAACGGACCAGCACTCAATGGTCGAACCTGGTTGGAAAATTAAAATAAAAAAACTAGAATCTTACTTATCATTCTGTTGAAATATATCTTACTTTTTATCTATTTTTATTTTTACTTACTAGGGGGGATGGAGCTCCGCTACCCCAGGCTTTCTTAGATGGTGAAGGCGGTTGTTTGTGTTCATCATTCTTTAGCAGGCGTCTTGGAGCAGCACTCCGTGGTCGTGCAGCATTCACCTGCGCCGCCGATTCATCTGTGTTGGACCTGACATACAAATTTCTTAAATATTTTTATTCTTAATTCAAAAATCCCTAATTAACAGTTAAATAAAACCATATATTTAGTCAAAATCATAACAAGGTGATCCGATTGGAATCAGTGATACATTGAAGCCATGAAGTGCAAAATGTTGGTGAGAAACATAGCAAATAAAGGATACCGTATGCCTTTTGTTTTCAATATACAAGATTTAATGGAGTTTGTCATAACGTGTTTTTGTGACTCTACTGTTGTACCTTTTTCGATGCTCGTATTTCAATTTTGTTGCGGCTAAGATTATCTTATGTTAGTATCTTAAAATTTAAAATTATTGCAAAATAGTTAAGATATTTAATTTTTTTATGTGATCGTAAGGTAAAAAGCAATAACGAACTCAAAATATTTCATGCGATGGACACGGACTGACTTAACGATTGCCGATCGGCCTCGTACGGTGTCTAGGTTGTTCCTTTCCAGCGAACGCTCATGATCGGCTGTAAGAGAAGCAAGTGCTCGATCATGACTGTCGTCTGCTGCAGGCTCGTTCCACAATTCTATCGCACCATCTATCAATTGCCTGTACCGACGTTGAGTTTGACGAATATCTCCATCCATTTGATGCTCCATACCACCTTCATAAGTCGGCAGGATAGTCGACACACCTTTGTTTTCGACTGACCAATGCGGGAATTAATTACAAAATTAATACAGTTCATAGTATCCAAGACATTTGTGGTTATACCTTTTGTTTCAATTCGTTTACAATGTGTTTTCCATACAACTTGGTCCATGACATTTGGATCAGCTGCGCTCATACTTAAATGGCGCACTAATCCAGGAGCTCTTCTAGATTCAGCACCGCTATCACCCTCCCAGTCCAAACAATAAACACTGGTAGGTTCCAGAATGCGAGTCAAAGGTTCAGGAGCATCGCATCTGCATTATATAAATAAATAGACATTGTTGTACAAAAACATAAAAGTTAGCGAACTGTAATTACCTCGGAAATGATCTCACAGAAGGTAGTGAGAGAAAAGATCCTATGCTCCCAGCACTGGATGGTTTATTCAAAACAAGTGCATCACCAGATGCTTGATCACTGGATGATCTATCGTAATCCAGCTCTCTGCTTCTTTGGCCTCCAGCTGCTGCTACGGCATTGTGATTACGCCGTTTTTTTGGTTGCGCCATAGTTTTTTGCTTTGACTTGAAACGGCTTTGCTGTTTGGATTTTGGTGACACTTGCGAATAAAGGTTATGGGGATGACTAAGCAGACGACGCCTTGGCAAATAGGAAGGTGAATCGACAATAGAATCTCTGAAAATATAAACGGTATGTTATTAACAATATTAGAAGATGACAGAATTTTATATTTTTATATTTCTTCTTACCCGCTCGCACTTGAGACTGAACGCCTTTTGGAAAACCTAACGTCTTTAGAAATAGTTGCTATCGATGATTCGCCTAATATATTCTCTGTCTACATTGTTTTATGATATAATAAACAAATTAACAAATACTAATAAATAATTGAATAAATCTTTTCCCAATACCTTAGAATGCCCTGCTTCGCCAGAAACAAAAGCTTCATTGTCTTTGCCCTGTTGTTCGCCTGATGATTTTGAACGACTATTTCGTTTTTGTGCAGCTATGACGATCAATGCTACTAACATTAAAAGAAGTACGCAGGTTGCAATAGCCACTGCAGCTATTAACCATGGTTCACTGGAACTTACACGTACCACCGATCGCTCGCCCCAGGTTGAACCATGATGCACACCACGCAGATATGCTGCAAGATCTTAAACATGTGAACTCATATGTAATAATAATAAGATATATACTTAGATATATTTATTTTTGCTCCTAATTTTACTAAATTGGGTAAATGAAGTAATGAATTGTAGTCCAATATTGGGACTTCATTTTGTTTTTACATACGTTCTGATTTTGTTAGAATTGGGTATCCTAATTCTGAAGCAGCTTCCTCATCAGTAACCAATCTCATATCTTCGGCAGCAGTTTCTGCCAGTACGGGTCTTCCACCAGCCATTACAGTATATAATAGTTCCGTTCGACCAGCCATGGTATCAGCACTCACGTTATGAACATACACCTGGACTTGTGGATTTGGACCAATTTCACGTTTGAATACGAGACCAACATCATCGATCAATTCTACTTGCTGCTGAAAAAATAGTTTATTTAAATAATGGACAGGACATATTTCACTTAGGTATAAACTAATCCATTATTAGTGTTGACAACCTTCCATCCTGATTTTTACTAATTTATTCTAATGTTTATATTTATCGATTGATATTTCGATAAAATGTTGAATTTACTTAAATACTCACTTCATTGGTTGATCGTTTTGTTTGCTTGTTGCTGAGTATTGTATTATTAGAATTAGTACTTATGGAAGGTGATCTGGTACGATTTAGTAAACCTAAATGTCTCTCGAGTTGCCTTTGAAGAAAACAGATAATTAGAAACAAATTAATATTTTATCAAAATAAATATTAAATAAAAGCCTGTTCACACGACGCTCACATGTCGTCATAGAAAAGTTAGAACGTGCGCTATATTTGTAGATGGATTTGTTTGTTCGAACCAATTGGGAGGCAGTATTTGATCATGTGATTTATAATATTAGATAATCTAGCAAGCTAAAACAAATCTCACTCAAAAATCTAGTAAGCCAAAACATATCACACTCAAAAATTAAGCAAGCTAAAACAAACACTCTCAAGAATCAACCATGATATGGAGCCATTCCAGAAAAAAAATGTCGTATGATTCGGGCTTTTTTCATAGGTCTATGATCCGTTCAAAAAATAGCGTACGTTCTAATATCAAAATCTCGCTTGCTGGAAACAAATGGAGATCGATAGCCCGTCATTTTATCTACTTGTTATCCAGCATGCCAGCCAGCCGATCAAAAAAGCAACAAAACAAGCGTCGTATGAACAGGCCTATATTCATTTACAAATAGAAGTCCATTAAAAATCAATTTACCGCGCAAAGGCTGTGGTGTAGAGTGCCGCTAGTTTAGCTTCCCAATCACCATCTGGTGCTGCATTAGTCGCTAAAATGGTCAACAGCCAATACCTCCTGTCTAAAGGTGGATATCTCGCTTCAGAACCTGATAGAGTTTTAGTAGGTCGAATGGTCCCTGCTGCAGGTGTCACAACTCCTCCACAATTAAGCGTGCATGGTATGTTCTGTCGCAGTAAATTTCATATTAAATTTATCCCTTGTATGTTTAACCTGTAGAATCTTCCTTACCTGAATGGTTGCATTATTTGTTCCAGGAGGTTCCAAATATAATGTGGCTAGCAGCGTGGTGGTACTGACAATTGTTTTTGTGCCTGCTGGTGTTGCGATTGATGTAGCGGCTTCTGGACGCACTTGACCGGAGGCTGATGCCAAAATCGCAGCTCTTTCTGGAGCAGCAGGACCATCTCCTGATCCTGTCCAGAAGAAATCTTCCACCCGTCTATGGTTAAGCGCGCTGACTGATTCACCATCTTTGGGGAAATAGAGGTAGATCAATAGAATTATATTATATGAGCTGAAGTTTAATCAGACAATCGATGAAAATAGTTGAATCCAAGTTATCTTATTAAATCTAGTTTCGATCAATTTCCTTTTTTGAAATGAAACTTCCCATCAGAACTGTACTCGTTCTACCTCATTGATCTCATTATAGAATAGAATTGGACATGCGATATACAATATCGATCTTAATAACAAAGATACATTTTCCACATTGTTGAAATGAATTATAGATAATGTGATATGTTATCGTTGAAGCCGTGAAATGGAAAAAGCTCCTTCTGGTTACATCTGCCATATAGATGATTTATTGATTTACGTAATTATTTGTTGCTGAATTTATATATGGTATCTGATATAGAACCAGATTCTAGATGATTTTGGGGAAGTTAATTTATAATTGAATTATAACATTTGTGAGATTGAAAAGCGAATAATATTTGCTATTTCTATCTGTTTATCCGCAATAATGTTTCCTAATATAAAAATGATATGGTTGTGAATTTTTAAATTGTGCAAAACATGTATTAAATAAAACTACAAATATATTATCAGGAAAATAGTTTTATGTTCAGAGTAAAATTTGTTGAGAAACCTGATTGGAAACTTAAACGTTATTTGATATATACATATATTTAGTAGCAAATTATATGAATTATAAAATTGCGATACTAAAATAATGTATTTAGCAAATAATTGCAGCTAATAGTCTTTAACATAGCGTAATGCTCTATAATTATATCGTGACATTCTCCCATTTACAACCTTTACTTTTCAATCTCATAAAACGTTTATTAAACATGAGAATAATGTCTTATCAATATATTTTTTTAAAAAATTCTATATTTTAGCATCAACAAAAACAATTTCAATTGTCATCATTATATTTTACCATCAACAAAAATAATTTCAATTGTCCTCATTATGGACGAAAAACAACATACACGGATTGTTATTGCGATTTCAGTTGAACAGAAAACATTTTAAAATCAAAGTTGAATATTGAAACAATTATTGACCAAAATTGTTTTATATTATATTTATAAAATATTTGGACTTCGATAGTCGCAATTGTATAAAAAAATTAGAAGAAATGGTATGTCATCGTCCTTTGTTACGAACTGGTAAAAAGCATTTTAAATATGTGGTTTGTACTATTAGAAATTAACAAAAAATAGCATTAACGTAAAATAAAATATAGATCACTTTTACGAAAAATATTAGTATTAAATATTTGATAAAACGGACAATCAAATAAAGAGTTTTATCATAATATTTACTTCCACCACACTTCTATTGCAAATTTGTTTTTTTCTGAAATGAACCTTTCACTACGAAAAAGACAAAATATATTAACAAACTAGCTGACCCGGCAAACGTTGTTTTGCTAAATAAGGTATATTCTAGACAATTTCTAGAGAATCAAAAATATTAATACTTTAAGTGTATAAGGATGTGTTGTTTGAATGCTATATACATGTACAATGAAGTATTATAAAAACAATAAACCCCATTGGTTCCGGATAATCCGAAGTCCGGATAATCCGAAGTCCGGATAATCCGAAGTCCGGATAATCCGAAGTCCGGATAATCCGAAGTCCGGATAATCCGAAGTCCGGATAATCCGAAGTCCGGATAATCCGAAGTCCGGATAATCCGAAGTCCGGATAATCCGAAGTCCGAATAGTCCGAAAGTCCGGATAATCCGAAGTCCGGATAGTCCGAAAGTCCGGATAATCCGAAGTCCTGATAATCCGAAGTCCGGATAATCCGAAGTCCGGATAATCCGAAGTCCGGATAATCCGAATTCCGGATAATCCGAATTTCGGATAATCCGAATTCCGGATAATCCGAATTCCGGATAATCCGAATTCCGGATAATCCGAATTCCGGATAATCTGAATTCCGGATAATCTGAATTCCGGATAATCCGAATTCCGGATAATCCGAATTCCGGATAATCCGAATTCCGGATAATCCGAATTCCGGATAATCCGAATTCCGGATAATCCGAATTCCGGATAATCCGAATTCCGGATAATCCGAATTCCGGATAATCCGAATTCCGGATAATCCGAATTCCGGATAATCCGAATTCCGGATAATCCGAATTCCGGATAATCCGAATTCCGGATAATCCGAATTCCGGATAATCCGAATTCCGGATAATCCGAATTCCGGATAATCCGAATTCCGGATAATCCGAATTCCGGATAATCCGAATTCCGGATAATCGGAATTCCGGATAATCGGAATTCCGGATAATCGGAATTCCGGATAATCGGAATTCCGGATGATCGGAATTCCGGATAATCGGAATTCCGGATAATCGGAATTCCGGATAATCGGAATTCCGGATAATCGGAATTCCGGATAATCGGAATTCCGGATAATCGGAATTCCGGATAATCGGAATTCCGGATAATCCGAATTCCGTATAATCGGAATTCCGGATAATCCGAATTCCGGATAATCCGAATTCCGGATAATCCGAATTCCGGATAATCCGAATTCCGGATAATCGGAATTCCGGATAATCGGAATTCCGGATAATCGGAATTCCGGATAATCGGAATTCCGGATAATCGGAATTCCGGATAATCGGAATTCCGGATAATCCGAATTCCGGATAATCCGAATTCCGGATAATCCGAATTCCGGATAATCCGAATTCCGGATAATCCGAATTCCGGATAATCCGAATTCCGGATAATCCGAATTCCGGATAATCCGAATTCCGGATAATCCGAATTCCGGATAATCCGAATTCCGGATAATCCGAATTCCGGATAATCGGAATTCCGGATAATCGGAATTCCGGATAATCGGAATTCCGGATAATCGGAATTCCGGATAATCGGAATTCCGGATAATCGGAATTCCGGATAATCGGAATTCCGGATAATCGGAATTCCGGATAATCCGAATTCCGGATAATCCGAATTCCGGATAATCCGAATTCCGGATAATCCGAATTCCGGATAATCCGAATTCCGGATAATCCGAATTCCGGATAATCCGAATTCCGGATAATCCGAATTCCGGATAATCCGAATTCCGGATAATCGGAATTCCGGATAATCGGAATTCCGGATAATCCGAATTCCGGATAATCGGAATTCCGGATAATCGGAATTCCGGATAATCCGAATTCCGGATAATCCGAATTCCGGATAATCCGAATTCCGGATAATCCGAATTCCGGATAATCGGAATTCCGGATAATCCGAATTCCGGATAATCGGAATTCCGGATAATCGGAATTTCGGATAATCCGAATTCCGGATAATCGGAATTCCGGATAATCGGAATTCCGGATAATCCGAATTCCGGATAATCCGAATTCCGGATAATCGGAATTCCGGATAATCCGAATTCCGGATAATCCGAATTCCGGATAATCCGAATTCCGGATAATCCGAATTCCGGATAATCCGAATTCCGGATGATCGGAATTCCGGATAATCCGAATTCCGGATAATCCGAATTCCGGATAATCGAAAGTCCGGATAATCCGAATTCCGGATA